CCTCTCATACACAGTGATGAGGGAATTTCGTCTTTTGATCACATTCAAACTTTGACCGCGTTAAATCCCCTTCTTTTGCCGCTAAAAATGTGAGGGACTGGGAGAAAAGGATAAAGAACCAGAAAATCAGTAAAACTGTGTGCAGAACCTTACCAAATCTAATAAAATAGATGTGCCAAAACGGGCGCAATATTGCTACATAGTAATATAATAATATCGCCCGTCTTAATATAGTAATATTACTTCTTTAATGTAATCACTGCTGTTCCTGGCATCACTTTGTAGAAATAATGCGTAAATAAAAAGTGCAGAGAATTGTTTCTTTCATGCATTTGAACGATTTTGAAATTTTGCAAAAATGTTGTTTTAAAATCCGTGTCGAATTTCAGATAAAGATCGTTTTTCCACTCAAAAATGAGGTTAAACGACGAGAATCCTCTAAATGTTTTATTTCAAACCAGGACACACGATGATAGTGGTGGTGCTCTTCAGACACTATTAATGGTGGCATGTGGTGTGCCTGATACCAGTGGGCAAGCTGTCGCGGGTATCAGGACACGCCGTGCCACCGAGAAAACCACAAGCACCGAGCGCATCGGTATCAGGCTGCACCGTCCGCAGCTCATCACCAAACAGAATTTTCCTCAACGACGTCGTCGTCTCCGGCGCTGAAAGAACACTGGAAAAGATGAAAAGAGAGGACTAAAATCTGAAATAGGAAGCTCCAAGCACGACTTCCTCACCCAAGTGGTCTCTAGCCTCTCGCAAATAAGAGCCGCTGGCTAGCCTTTGGTCAAGCTAACTAGGAATGGGAATAGTCCTCTCAACACCTCATCGTCGACGCGCATTCTCTTTGAGTCCTCCTTACCTCCTTCTCATCATCCCCTTCATCACCCTCTCGCTCCCTGCCTTTGCATAGCTAGCAAGAATCGTAATATTCTTATCTCTTAGATATCCAAATTCAAAAACCGGTGAAAAAAATCATGCCACTCACGCACATAAAGAAAAAAAAAAACATGTTTAAAACACAAAAGCTAAAATCCTTTCAAAGAAAATTACGCGAATGGTGTATCTCTAACGAGACCCCTTAGATACCACAAAAACTTACTAAGAATAGGACAGAACTTAATCGAAAAGTCAAAAAAGTCAAGACACCTCTGCATTTTCTGTCCATAGCCAAAAAACAACACAACTAAAATTGTTGAATTCATTTGTTTTTGAGCGGTGAAATGCATTCAAAAATGCTAAATTTTGCTCCGAAATGTAAAAATACATGGCAAAAATAGAAAATTGCCATTTTGATCGTACAAGATTAAATTTATAGTTTGTTCCCGAGGTCTGGTAGCGTAGCACGCAAAAGACACATTCTATTAATCTTCTCTCCAAATCGTCCGAAAAATGTTGGGATACCAGGAGCAAGTAAAAAGCTGACTCGAAATTCTCGGAGAATTAGCGGTGAAAAAACTGACAACATCTAAGAGCAACTGGGAAATGCCAGACTCTCCAGAAAAGCGAACATAATATTTTGCAAAGGGCAAAGATTGCGGTGATTCTTCGAGACCAGTAAGAGTTCAGAAGATTCTGGAAAATGTACGTAAACATATTCAAACATATGCTCTAAACGACACACATGCAGCTTGGGATATTAGCACCTCAGGCTTTTCAAATGTGCTAATTTTGACGAAGTTTTTTTTCTCACTCATGTCATCTATCCATTCTATTCCAAAGCTAATAACTAAACTGCATTCATGCGTAAACAATGAATTAGGCAAAAAATATTAACAGTGTATTAGGCAGAGAGAAAGAAACGAACCATGGAACAATGCGTGGCAGATGTCAGCAAATTGCAACATACATCCAATGAAGTACTGTGCTTTCGGTTTGGTGTGAGTGATATTATCAAAGCAGTGTACATCAGCAAGAGCTGGGCCGGTCACACGGCAAGAAAGAGAAACAGCAAATCGAAAAGCATTACCAAGACAATGTTAAAAAGACACAAGGAAGGCCAATCAGTGAAGAGTTATGTGGAATTATGTGTATGAAAGAAGCACGAAATGGAGCAGGATGGAGAAGCTGCCAGCTGCGTCAGTGGTAAGAAGAAACGCAACGATGAAACAATAGCTGATCAAAGCACCAAAGGACACTATAAAAAAGCGCCAGTTTTACAATTTCATCAGACAGCGCTTCTCAAGTGGAGTTCCTAAGTAAAAAGAAAGGCATGCTTCCAAAAAAAATAACTTCTGAACTGCCGAAACAATAAGAACAGAAGATTTATTATAAACAAATCCAACAAACGAGAAATTCACTCAGATTTTGCGTTCCACGTTCACATTATCCTCTACTATTTCTGCCAGAGCAGACATTCCGTTCTCTATATCTCGCTTACTTAAATTTGCGATTTTTCGGTCTTCAAGCTCCAAATTTAACGTTTTCCTGGCTTATTCATATACTTCTGGGCTGACTTTACAGTTCTACAGATAAATCTTACTCTTTTTTCCTGGATATCTTGCTTAATTTTGGACAAATTTTTCAGTTCTGTTAAGGAATTTATACCTTTTAACCTAATTTTCACACGTTTCCTACCATGTTGACAGTTCCACTGCATCTAGCAGGAAAAAAGAAAGTGGTCGCCAGCTCCTTACTGAAACATGTCGCTGATTCAAAATCACCGCTTCTGGCTCCCCATGCGGATTTCTTGATATCGCTGGGAGCAAAACCAAGACAAGATGATGCAGTTGTGGTTCTATCCCTCTGATGACAGTACTGCAGTTGCACTATTGCTATCTCCGTGTGGCACCACCTTTACTGGAGTTCTCGGAAGTTTTGGCTTCCTTTCAAACACTGTACCGCAACTACGCATGCTGCAAATACATATCTCAGATTCATATAAAACACTAGTAATAAAAAACGCATTTTTTGCTCTGCATTAAAAACGAATGGGTTTGTCAGAGCGCCACAAATTACCGCATTCTAATAGGATACTCCAAATTCTGCCACAAGACAAAAAGATATTAGAGTTTTGCATTTGTCTAGAAATTTTCTGAAAGAACTGTAAACATACCTAACATCACTTGCAACTGGTGCATCAGGCAAAAAATCCGTCACTGCATTACCACTCTCCGGCGATAAAGGCGGCTGAAATAATAGAACAAAAGATAAGGGATTAAGTTTCTTGTGCATGAAGACATGTTAGGATGCAGTCTGTGTTTCATTCCCAAGCTGCAAACACAAACCGAACTCTGCGCACGGGCAGGAACGGGAATCATCAGTGCAGCCACCTAACCGCCAATATTACAGTCATGTGACAAATTTGTAAGACGGATAAGCGAAAGAACAAAAAGTGAGAGAGAAAGAGAGACGAAGCGGGAGATTCATAACTTTCAGGAGATGTGGTATAATACTTTTTTTTAATGTTTATATTTAACTAATTATCTGTCAACAATTACGACGATGATAAGAGTTATATCAAAAATGGCAGCGGTGATATCTAAAGACAACAGTAATAATGATTATGATAATCGGTAACAGTCGGTGCTAACACTACCAGCTGAAGGGAGTTTAATTGCATCCGCTTGTTGTAGCGAGATTCTTGGCTTCTTTGGCGGGGCAAGTGGAAATTTGGCAGCCGTAAGAGGGAAGAAGTTTAAGAAAATACATTGCTAACTAAGAGCAAAGTAAAGCCATGACAGTGATGGCTCTACATTGCAAGAGAGTGACTTGATGATGGAAAACCGCCAGCTTTTTAGCCTTAAACTACTTTCAGAATCCAGGTTCCACATGCCCGCTAGACGCCCGAAAAAACACCATTTTATTCTGAAGATAACAACAATACCCCTTTATGATCTGGTTAGAAAAGTTAAGC